GTGCCTAGTCTCACTGCAACTTTGTAGACCATGGCTGGTTCATATTCATGGGAATCTTTCCCTTTTCTGCATAGAAATGGAGAAGGAAGGAATGGATAGGGTAGGGAGAGGGAAGGTGGGTGAACTAGTACTAGAGAAGGGGAGAAATCTATGATCAGGGTGTAAAAACAAACAAAAAATAAACAAGCACACACACACACACAAATATAATGAAAAACAATCCAAGTTTTCCCCATTCCTCCCCTACTCCCTTCTCTCTAACCCTCTCCCCTTCCAACAACCCTCCCACCCACAGCCCTATGCAGCCGAGGTTACCTGGGACTCTTGTCTATTTCCTATCTCCTGGCGGATAGCTAAATAATCTTCATCAGGTTCACCTTCTTATTTAGCTTCTCTAGGATCACGAATAATAGGCTCAAAGACCTTCAATTATGGTTAGAATCCACTTATGAGTGGAATACATACCGTGTTCCTCTTTTTGGGTCTGGCTTACCTCACTCAGTAAAGCGTTTTCTATTTCCATCCAATTGCATGCAAAATTCAAGATGTCATTGTTTATTACCACTGAGTAAAACACTAATGTGTATATGTTCCACAGCTTTTTTAACCATTCTTCTATTGAGGGGCACCTAGGTTGTTTCCATGTTCTGGCTATTACAAACTCGGGGGACTGAGATGGGGGGAGGGAAGAAGGATGGATATGGGATCAGGGAAGAATATATCTCAACTAAGGGAGTCATTTTAGACTTTACAAGAGACTTGATTATAAATGGGATCCCAGGTCCAAGGAGAGATCCCCAGATTGTTCTCTGGACAGAGGAGAGGGTGCCTGAACCGGCCTTGGCCTATAACCAAACTAATGAAGATTTTGCTTATCACCATAGATCCTTCATCCAACGATGGATGGCGATACAGACGGAGACCCACATTGGAGCACCGGACTGAGCCCCACCATGGTCCAAATGAGGAGCAGAAGGAGGAAGAACATGAAAAAAAAAACCTCAGGACCGTGAGGGGTGCGATCACCCACTGATACAAGGGGACTGATCTAATGAGAAGTTCACCAAAGCCAGTTGGACTGGGACTGAACGAGCACGTGATCCAATCAGATTTTCTGAACGTGGCCGGACTCTCTGAATGTGGCTGGTCCGGAGCCTTTCTGAAAAGCCATTGACAATGACACTGGGACTTGTTTCCTCTGCATATACTGGATTTTTGGGATCCAGTCTGTTTGAATACTCACCTTCCTGGACCTGGAGGGAGGGGGGAGGAACTTGAACTTCCCACAGGCTGGAAGCCCTGACTTCTCTTGGGGATGGAGAGGGAGGAGGAGGGGGAGGGGGGAGTGAGAGAGTGATGGGAGGAGGGGCGGAAATGGAAACTTTCATAATTTAATAAACTTTGAAAAAAAAACAATCCAACAAAGTTCAAGACCAGATACCTACACCTAGAATTACAATCTTCCCAACCTCAGGTGTCTAGACAAGAGCTTCAAAACATAAGAAAAAGAAGAAAAAGGAAGGAAGGACTGAGGTGAAGAAAGAGAGAAAGAAGAAGAGTTACAGTTTGTGGTTTGATTTCAGAGAGGGGGAAATTACAGGGTTACAGAGGCAAGAACTTGAGCCAGATGGTCTTTCTATATCTCTAGTCAACAAATAAAGAACAGTAAATGTTCTGTGGCCAGGTAATGTTCTCCTTTCTATGCATCTAAGACTGCAGCCCAGGAAACTGTGCTCCCAGTTAGAGAAGGACTTTCCACCTCCATTAATCTAATCATTTTCATATCTCATAGGTGTAGATTAATATAAGCTAAAAACTTCTTTCACTTCTGTGTCCCTAGAGTTTTGTCTCCTAGTTGGTTCTAGAGTCTGTCAAATTGGCAATCACTGTTAAACATCATAACCCTTTGTTATGTGATCACCAAAGTGTAATTCCAGGATAATTCTTTCTCATATCTATATTCAACACCAGGTTTTAATTTTCATGCTCATTTTATTTTTATTTAATTGAAAAATTTCAAATGCTACAATTTGCTTATGATTTTTTCTTCTTCAATTCATTCCAGGTCCTTATCAACATCATATGTATAAAACTTTAATATTGAGGGGCACCTAGGCTGTTTCCAGGTTCTGGCTATTACAAATAGCCCTGCTATGAACACAGTTGAACAAATGCTTTTGTAGTATGTTCGGGAATCTCTAGGGTATATTCCCAAGAGTGGAATTGCTGGGTCCTGAGGGAGGTTGACTCCCAGTTTCCTGAGAAACCGCCACACTGATTTCCACAGTGGCTGCACAAGTTTGCATTCCTACCAACAATGAATGAGTGTTCCCCTCATTCCACATTCTCTCCAGCATAGGCTATCATTGGTGTTTTTGACTTTAGCTATTCTGACAGGTGTAAGATGGTATCTCAAAGTGGTTTTGGTTTGCATTTCCCTGATCGCTAAGGATGTTAAGCATGACCTTAAGTGTCTTCTGGTCATTCGAAGTTGACCAGTTGAACAGTTGAAGAAGTTCATTTGTTGTGAATTCTCTGTTCAGATCAGTACCCCATTTTTTTAATTGGGTTAATTAGAGTTTTAGTGTCTAGTTTCTTGAGTTCTTTGTATATTCTGGAGATCAGACCTTTGTCTGATGAGGGGTTGGTGAAGATCTTCTCCCAGTCAGAAGGCAGCCTTTTTGTCTTACTGACAGTGTCCTTTGCTTTACAGAAGCTTCTCAGTTTCAGCAGGTCCCATTTATTCAGAAAGGTGTGGAACATATACACATTAGAGTTTTACTCAGCGATAAAAAACAATGACATCTTGAATTTTGCATGCAAATGAATGGAAATAGAAAACGCTTTACTGAGTGAGGTAAGCCAGACCCAAAAAGAGGAACACGGTATGTATTCACTCATAAGTGGATTCTAACCATAATTGAAGGTCTTTGAGCCTATTATTCGTGATCCTAGAGAAGCTAAATAAGAAGATGAACCTGATGAAGATTATTTAGCTATCCGCCAGGAGGTAGGAAATAGACAAGAGTCCCAGGTAACCTCGGGTGCATGGGTGGTGGTGGTGGGAGGGTTGTTGGAAGGGGAGAGGGTTAGAGAGAAGGGAGTAGGGGAGAAATGGGGAAAGCTCGGGGGACTGGGATGGGGGGGAGGGAGGAAGGATGAATATGGGATCAGTGAAGAATATATTTCAACTAAGGGAGTCATTTTAGGGTTTACAGGAGACTTGATTATATATGGGATCCCAGGTCCTAGGAGAGATCCCCAGATTGTTCTCTGGATAGAGGAGAGGGTGCCTGAACCGGCCTTGGCCCATAACCATACTGATGAATATTTTGCTTATCACCATAGATCCTTCATCTGGCGAAGGATGGCGATACGGACGGAGACCCACATTGGAGCACCGGACTGAGCCCCCCCAAGGTCCAAATGAGGAGCAGAAGGACGAAGAAAATGAAAAAGGAAATAAGGACTGCGAGGGATGCTATCACCCACTGATACAAGGGGACGGATCTCTTGAGAGTTTACCAAGGCCAGCTGGACTGGGACTGAACGAGAACGTGATCTAACCAGATTCTCTGAATTTGGCCCGATTCTCTGAATGTGGCTGGCCCGAAGTCTTTCTGAAAAGCCATTGACTATGACACTGGGACTTGTTTCCTCTGCATATACTGGATTTTGGGGATCCAGTCTGTTTGGATACTCACCTTCCTGGACCTGGAGGGAGCGGGGAGGAACTTGAACTAAAATTAAAATGAAAGTTAAAAAATAACTTTAATATTTTCTTTTGTATCTCTCTTTCAAATAATACACACACTATCAAATAAAATAAGCAAAACAGCAAAAATACATGAAAGCACCTCAAAAAATACTACAGCAAGTGAAAATCAATATAAACAAGTAAAATCCCAATAAGACAAAAAATGCCCACATAAAACAAAACGAGACAAAAAGTCCACATAAATATCACTGAGTTTGTTTGATGTTCATCAAATGCTCCTGGGTATGGAGCCTGTCTGCAGTGTAGATAATACACACATGGGTCTCCATTGGGATGGAGCCTGCCTGCAGTGTAGATAATACACCCAGCAGGACTCCATTGCGATGGGGCCTATCTACAGTGGAGATAATACACCCAGCGGGACTCCATTGGAGAAAAGTGATTTTTCTTGGACTGCAAGTATCAGTTGCAGACAGTTTCTTTTTTTCTTTATTGATTTTTATTGAGCTCTATATTTTTCTCTACTCCCCTCCATACCTCTCCCCTCCCCTTCAACCCTCTCCCATGGTCCCCATGCTCCCAATTTACTCAGGAGGTCTTGTCTTTTTCTACTTCCCATGTAGATTTGATCTATGTAAGTCTCTCTTAGAGTCCTCATTGTTGTCTTAATTCTCTGGGATTGTGATTTGTAGGTTGATTTTCTTTGGTAGACAGCTTCTTAGTTTTCCTTGGGATACTGTGTCCAATTGTCCCTTCAGGACTAGGACCCTGCCAGGCTTGAAGCTGAATAGATCTTGTGTGTACTGCCACAGTCTCTGTGAGTTCACATGTGCATCAGCCCGGTTACGTTTCTCACGTACTCATTGTTGGAGTTATGTTTCAACTCTAGATCTTACAATCACTCAGCCTCCTCTTTTGCATAGCTCTGAGTCTCAATGAGAAAGACTTGATGAACATGTGCCATTTAGAACTGAGTGCTCTTAGGTCTCTCACTCTCTGCACATTGTCCACTTGTAGGTCTCTGTGTTAATTCCCATGTACTATAAGAAGCTTCTCTGAGTCAGGTTGAGCAAAGCACTGATCTATGTGAAAGCAATCATTTTATTGCCATGTTACCTTATCACAATAATGGTAATAGATGTTCCCATAGGCCTAAGGCCTATTTAGTATCAAATTCTAGACCTTTTCTTAGTGGTGTCAAGTATGGATCCACTCAGGGAAAGGGTCTTAAAATCAATCATAAAGTGTTTGGTTAATCCTACAACATTAGTGGTACTATTACAGTTGTATAACTTGCAGGCGTGTCACTGTTACAGGTTATAGAGTTTGTAGCTATGTACTTCAGGTTTCAATACTAATATTTGTGATTTGTCTTTGTTTTTCAATGATCAACAGAAATATACAAAGATATAATGGAAAAACAGTAATAATATAATATGAAAAATATTTTTTTTATTTTCCCCTTATTTGTGTGAAAATCTTTCCTAAATCCATAGCTTTGTTCTGAGCAAATGTTAATTTTTCCCCCCAGAACAGAGGCTATTTAAATTGCTCTACTTTGGCATCCTTAATAATTAATAAAGGTTGATACAATGAAAGTCAGCAAGGTTTTCTCATAACTAGGGTGGGTGAAAACATCTATTTAAACTAATTTAAGAAAGATTGTAGCATTTCCCCAGATGTATTTGCTCGTTGAGTTTCTCACTCAGTTGCTCTAAAGGACTCTGTCAAATCCAGAAATACTAGCTTCTTCTTCTAATAAAACAACTTTTCCTGAGTCACTAAATATTTAAGCAAATATTAGAAATAATCAAGTATGAAAGAGGCTTTTGAATGAATACTGATTTTATCATACATTCTCATGTTTAGCACATGTTTTAGCAGAAGAAATCAAAGGAGAAAAAGTTTATTTTAGAGGAAAATCTTCAAATATTGAAATGTTTATTTCATTTTAAAGGTAGAACCTTGAAGAGGCTATCTTAATTGCTATTAGGCATTTGACTAATGTGAAATTTGTGTGGCAGTGCTAGTGTTCTGTTTGTGGCAATTTCTAATTTTTCAAGTCATCAAGTACTTCTCTCTTTGTGATTCTGGTCCATGAATCTGGAATAGTACCTAACTTTGAAAATTTTTTTTTGTATTTCTCTTCTAGCTCTGATCTGAAGTGACAGACAAACCATTTCCAATATGGCTGGGTAGTTGAGTCTGGGGTGATGCTCCACGTGGCAAAATCACCTCCTGCTGCTCGATATTTCTTGTATGGGAACGTCCGGAGGTCATGTAAAATAAATGAACGATCACTTGCTACAGAAGTAGTACAGCACTCAATGGTAAAGTAGTCTGTTTTATGATAATGCCATCCATTGACAGCCTGAGGACGGTGGAATGGCACACTGTGGTCTCCATCATGTTCAGGAATGGTGTTGGTACAAATTGCTTTACAAAAAGGACACTGCTTCCAGCAGCCACAGAGATGATCAGAGAGAATTTTCTCAATGTCAGGAACCATTTCATCTATGGGCTTACTTGAGCAGTCATCTTTGACTTTCCTCAGTGCGGGATCCAAAGCTGCACTCATGGCTTCTTTGAGAAACTCAGTGTCCTTTAACTCCTGGTGCTCGATGCTTATCAGGTCTCTTCTTGGAAAGATCAGGTGGCTCCCTAGATGATCACAGAACAAATCCAACCAGCGAGAAGCAGTACTGCTATCATTTGCTACTTCTGTGGTCTTATGAATGGCAGAGAGGATGGCATTCTTTATGTCCCCTAAACTTATTTCTAAAAATGTCTTTATTCTTTCACCTTTCTCTGAACAGTATCTTGTAATGTGGTCTCTAATGTAATCCCTGAAAAAGAATTCTGGATAATGAATGTATTGCCAATACTTATCAAAGTTTTCCTTTTCTGCCAGAGAAATGAGAACATGTTTCTCCAGGTTAGCCCTGTTTCCATTGAATGCAGGGCAGGTGGCTCTCATGTCCCCAGCTACTTTAAGGCCCATTTTCTCCCATATAGTGGCAGAGACAGCACGAGTGAGCTTGAGCCACAGGAAGTCCACAAAAGATGTGATGGAGGTGGCACCTTGGCAGGAGATCTTAAAACTCATGAAGAAATTGTCTTTCTTGCTCTCCAGATAGTTCACAGGATCATTTGCTCTCTTGAATGTCATATGGATTTCTCTGAAACTCTTTGAGGCTTTATGAAACAAGCAGGAGGATAAGTCAATGCTGTACTCTCTGGTAAATGTGTAGTCTTCCTCAGGGGGAACAGATTTCAGTTCTTTTTCTATTATACTCAAGATTTCATGAAAATCACTCTGACTGTAATCACGCTTTTGCTTCCAAATGTTTTTAATTGTTTCATGAAATCTTAAATAAATGTTATTAGTAGTTTTATTAATGGACTCTTTATGACAGGACTCTAAACTCCTTCGAGCTACAAGAAATTTTCGTTTCATTTGGACATGTTTGTCATAATTGATTTCAAACATTTCTCCAGAGTTCTTTTTAAGTCTTTCTGCAATGTTTTTCTCCTTTTTGAAATGCTCCAGAAGGATATTTTCAGCATCCCAAACAATGTCAGGCTGTTTGACAAGAGGTACAGTCAAAGAAACTTTGTAGATCCAACTTCTCCAAAGTTGATCGAATTTCTCATGCAACTCTTCATCACTTAATTCTTTACCCTTCACACTCAAAGCCAACTCTCTGCTTCTCTCTAACAGTTCATTTTCATATTGTGACTTTTGGTTATTGAGTGTTTCTTGGCTTTGTTTAAGACTGATAAGCACATCACATTTCTTTCTGGTATCTGAAATAAGTGCATCTTTAAGAAATAATAGCTTATTTTCAAATTTTGCTTTCCATTGAATCAAAGTTTCACTATCTGGGTCTTCTTTAAAATACTTGTCAAATTCTTGCTTGATGGTTTCATATTTCTTGTGAACTGGATGTTCTAATGCATTACTTGTGAGTGTCAGGATTTTCTCATTCTGAATCTGATTGTTCAACTGATTCTGTAAGTCAAGTACATAGCTCCTCAGCTCCCAGGTCCAGTGGTTATACATGGTTTCCAGTTTACTCATGGCTATGACCTCTAGGGTGTTTCTGAAACTGAAAATGAAGTTCTCACTGACCAGGGCTTTCCACAAATCCTGAATTCGGAATTTTACATCTGAGATCTTCATGATCTTTCCCTTGGTTTCCTGTTGGGCAGTCCTAAGAATCCCACTTTTCAGTTCCTGGACATTGTGGCTATAGCGAGGATTGGGAGGGGCCATTGGGGGATTACCATCCCAGAGGTGAGCAAAATAGTAGACATGCTTATTCACATCAAATTTAATTACATCGCTGAAGCGGCTTATGTTTGAGCACTCTTCCTGTTCGGCAGCTAATGCTGTCATCTCATCCAGTCTCTGCTCCAGTCTCCTTCGGCCTTCCACAGTTTGGTCTTTAGCTGTAACTTCTCCCACATTCTGATGGACAAAGATGCAACTGGGGGAGATTTTCACTTGTTTCATCCTCAGAAAGGCCTGGACAACAATTTGTAGGATATCCTGCATCTCAGATGGATTCTCCCCAAAAATATTGATCAGAGTCAAGTTTCCAAGGCCAGTGACAAATGTTGCCAACTCATTGTCCCAATTCTGGGATGTTTTGTTGAGTTCTGGAGCCCGAAGTCCTTCTGTGTCTACAACAAGAATAAAATCAAAGCCAAGTTCTTCTGTGAATGTCTCTTCCACCTTCAGGAGCTGCATGTAGGCCCCCTTGGTGCACCTTCCTGCGCTGACTTTAAACTGGAGACCAAACAGTGCATTCAGTAGGGTGGATTTCCCCGAGCTCTGTAGGCCAAGGACAGAGAGAACAAAAAGCCTTTTGTCTCCAACTTTTTCTGAGATCTTGTCAAAAACAGCTGTCACCCACCTTAGAGGCACATATGAAGCATCCCCATCCATCAGCTCAATGGGAACACCAGCTACCATCAGGTCTGCAGCAATCTGGGGGAGGCAGAGAGGAAGAATATCTCTGGGGGAGGAAGTTTCTTCTAGAGCTTCATAGAGCTGGCCAAGTTCTCGGAGAATGTGCTTAATTTCAAAAGTGCTGTTAATAATCTCAGTAGAGATGTCGTCTACCTGCTTCTGTATGGGTGTCAGGAAGGTATTCTGTGCTTTTTGCTTTTCTGCCTGTACCTGTGACCACAAGTTTTTCTGTTTTTCATGTAAACTCTCCAAATGTTCCATGGTTAGATTTTCCAAAACCACACTTAACCAGTATAAGAAGTAGAGTTTGGGATCATTTTCTGAGTTTTCTTTGAGAATTTGTAGGACAGATTGCATAAAACCATTGAGAGGGAAGGCCTTTTTAAATTGCTGCCGTCGTATTTTTTGTTTTTCTGTCTGAATTTCACTCTTGTGTTGTTCAATGCTCCTATTCCCTTTTTCTTGCAGATGATAGAGTTCTTTGTCCTTCTTACACCAGCGGTGCCACAGTTGTCCCTGAAGAGGCAGGCAGATTTCTTTTATCTGAGATACTCTAAATTGTTTCAGGCCTTCCCAAACTTGTGCGGTTTTTTTGGCTTCCTTCAATTTTCTTTGATCTTCATCAATCATGAATCCTAGTTTTTGAGCCACCTGTGAACAGTCTTCTATGCTGAGAGCTGTGCCAGAGATTTCTAGTAACTGTTTAATGGTAGTCATGAGTTCTTCTGTTAATTCTGCCTCATTTCTATTCTTAATGCCAATCCTCACCCTTCTGCCTGAATTATTAGTCATGAATTTTTCTTTGTCATCAATCAAACAGATCACAGGTTTTAATGACTGCCACAGGTGTCTGACTAGGTTTTTGTTTTCTTTATCATTTTCTGAAGCTGACATGAGGATCACAAAGAGAGAAGAGACATCCTGCAGGAAGCTGAGTTGTTGTCTATGTTCTTTGGCATCTCCATGAAGATTGGTGAAGGCCACACATTTGTCAAATCTGTCCTCATCTTGACCCCCAGGAAAGAACCAGCAGATCTCCACCACTCCCTCCATCAAGAGACAGTCTTTGCTACTTCCTTTGCAGTGTCTGTGAAAAAACAAATCGTGTTTATGTCTACTTAGGAGAGAGTTCATGATCTGAGATTTGGAAGCAGAGAAGCCTTTTCCAACTCTAATGAAGGACACTATGGGGGTAGAGACACAGCACATCTGCCGATTCCTGTGACTGTAGCTCTTGTCCTGTGGTGATTTACTTGACTCTTGCCAACTTCTCCTGATTTGTCTGAGAGACCAGAGAGAGAATTGAATCTGAGAAGTGTTGGGATTTGGTACCACAATGGGGAGTGCAAATTGACAAATGGAAAGCTTGGACAAAATGTATTGCCTGGCAAGATCATCTGCACAGTGAAAAATGGCCATCTGGATGTCCATTGGGTGAATGGGGGGCCGGGACTCAGTGGGTGAAGAATTAATGACTTCATCAGTATCATCAAACAGCTCTTCGTATGGATCAACAACATCATTTTCCTGATTGGAGGAACCTACAGAGTCTTGGTTTTCTGCATTTCCATCATTTTTGAAGACCAGATGTCTGAACCCACAATCTAGCATCAGTAGCTTTTGTAGGAAATAGAGGGGAAGTTCCTGTTCAGATTGTGGCTGCGTATTATACACAGAAGTCTTATAGATCAGGTGGAAGTCAGCTCTGCTCATCCTTTTTGGGTAGTGATGTTCTAGACCCAGACGCTGGAGTAAGTCTAGGAAAGGTCCTTTTCCTATCACCTCTTTTTCATTGTTATCATCATTTTGTTGTTCATAAGTTTCTTTCCTTTCATTCAGGAGACTTTGCAATTGATTTTTCACATCATCCATCTGCAAAGATGTGATGGTGTCTTCATAGTTTCCATCAATGAGTAATCTCAAATTATTCTCTAGATTCTCCCAATCATGATCTGTTTCAAATTCTGTGAGGGCATTTGCAACTTTTGTAGACAGTAAGTGCTCCATATGTTGCCTTGTTAATGCCAAGCGCTGTGCGTTTTCTTGTGGAGAAATGACCGAGAGTCCAGCTGTGGCTGTCAGAGCTTTGAGCACTAGGAATGCCTGTGCCCTGTCAGTGCAGATAGTTTTTAGCTCCTGATACCTGTGTTGGACAGTTTGTATTTCTTCCAGGAGAAAATTTAACTCAGTGCACCCCAGGAGAGGCTGGAAAACATTGCTTTCCAGCTGATAGCCTGCACCAGCTGCAATGCAGAGTAGTAGCAGCTGCATGTCTGGCTGCTCTGCTTCTCTGAGATGGTTCAAGAAGGAGCTAAGAGCTGTGGTGACCTCACAGGTAGCCTTTCTTTGAGCCTCTTCCACTGTTTCTGGGGACTCAGATGTGATGTTTTCTTCTGCAAGAGATTTTTGGATTTCTTTTATAATTTTTAAAAATTCAGACAGTTCAGTGATTTTAACTTGCTTTTCCTCTGACTCTGTCTGATAGATCCACTGCATGATCGACTTCACCTGAGGAAAGTTTTTCACTTTGTAGACATGAGGTTCTAGAAGACTGCGAAACTGAGATTTAATAAACTGAGATTTTTTAATGTAAGAACTTCTGCAAAAGTTGACAGTGCTTATGAGAAAATTCTGTAGATTACAATTTGTGAGGCATGTATTAATCCAAACATCATAACCTTTTGTGTTGTGAGCCAATGCTTGCATAAAATCCATCAGGTTGTTAAGATTTTGTTCAGGGTCAGAGACCACCCAGGATTTCACATCATCCAGGAAATATTCTGCTTTTCCTATGGAGCTCAGCAACTCCTCTTTAGCCTGGATATGGGCATCGAGGCCTGTCAGAGCAGAGTAATTGTCTGCCAGGCAGCTAGCCACCAGAAAGGGGTCATTAAAATTGCTTCTGTGGTTATATAGGATGATGTTCCAAACGGGCACCAGTTGAAGTTCTTGGTCAATGACACACCAGGTTTTGTTGCTGGCACAAAGGCCAGTTATCCACTCAACAATTCCATTAGCTTCTGCTGGTCCACCTATCTGGGCCACAGATAATTGGACTTTGATTTGGAGCTGTTGATTAGTTTCATTTTTGTAGAATCTTACTGAGTGAGCATCTGATGTCGTCATCCTTCCACCAACTTCAACTCCAAAGCCACTGTAGCTTCCTCTTATGTAACTATCCAAGGCCTCTGCTATCTGCTGCTTCACATGATCCAACTGATCACTTCTGAAACCCTCCGAAATGGCCTTCCAGCAGTAGATTCCCCCAAGGTGCAGAGGACCTTGATTAGCATGAGAACCAAATCTTTTGAAGAAGTTTTCAGTCCTTTTCCTGACTACAAGGAATCTGTCTGGTCCTTCTGTGTGTTCCAGCTGATCTTCAATGATTTTCAGTTCCTCAAGAGCAGCGGTGGAAAGCTGGAGTTGATCTTTGCAAAAGTGGAAGGAGGCTAGTGGGTTGTAGCTGAACATCAATGAGCAGAAATAAGAGTGATTAGAATGGGATTGGTGGATGTCTTTGGACTTGGCTTGCTTGACTTTATCCATTCCACCTTCCAAATTAAATCCCCAGCCTCCAGCTTTGTTTGACAGTGTTAACCTGAAACCGAACTTCTCCACAGTGTCAGTGAACAGAGATTCTTCTTCAGAAGATGTAAATTCTTTTGCTTCCATTCGTTTTCCTTGCTCAGGTCCAAAGAGGAACAGTTCCTTGGGGACCCTGAGTAGTTCTTCTCTCCTTGTTAGTAGGTCCTTTTGGTGACAGGTCTTATAAATTCCCTGCAGGGCCAGCCCACCAGATATGAATCTGAGCAAGTCTCTATCTGAGAAATTTTGACTATTTGGTAGTGTCTGTTCTATGTGACTGAGGTGTCTCTCCATTATTTCTGTAATGTCTTTTAGGGGCATTTCAGGCCCTGGCCAGCACTCTTCAGGGATCTCCATTGCTTGCCTCAGCTCTGATTCTTTCCTCCTCACTTCCTCTTCCTCTCTGTGCTTCCCTTCTGACTGCAAGGCCCTCAGTTCCTGCAGTGCCTGTTCTGCCTGCTTCTGCCTCTTCTTTATCATCTGCCCTAGATTTTCCTGGAGCTCTGCAACACTATTTGTCTGCGAGAGGTCAAACAGTTTCTTTAGAGCCTTTTTCTCCCATGTGTATTGTGTCTGGGTCTTCAGCTTCTGGAGGTCTTGTTCTTCTAAGTGCTGTAAGGCCTGGGCACAGGTCACACCCAGGTCTTCCTGAAACTTAGGCAGCCAGTAGTCAACAGACAACCCCACTTCAGTCAGCATCTCCTGAAGATTTTGTCTTCTTCTAGGCTGAAGCTCAGCAGGCATGCACTTTTTTGTTTCCATTGCTCTGTGAAGAACAGACACTTAGTCAGCCTGTGTCTCAACTGTTAGGATTCTTATCCAATTATTCAATGTGTGAATGTTCTTAGGAGGCTTGTCTCCAAGGTTTCTCATTTCTTCATCTAATTGTCTTGTTTACATTTATTTAGAATCTTTGCTATATTGTTTTCTGTTCACTAAATATAACTTATGTGTCTAGCTATCATTAAGAACTTCAGTGTAGTAGACTGATTTTAGGCGTTTCCTCCTACATTGATGCAACATCAGAACCATTAAGTTAATGGTTAAATTTTAATACATAAATAGGTGACAAACAATTTTATATTTTAAAATAAGAATTATTACCATATGCTGATTGACATTCCTGTATTTGTTTCTATGAAACCTATGTTGAGGATTTCCAATGAAATCTCCCTGAATACATCTTAAGTTAAATAATATTGATTTGATCTGCTGTCATAAATAAATTTCTACTCTGTTTATGCCTGTTAATTACTTCTAACTTTTTCATTTTTTCCTAGTACACTGTCTTAGAGGAATTTCTATTGAAATAAAACATCATGACTAGGGCAACTTGTAAATGAATTTGTTTAATTTGTAGCTTATGATTTTAGAAGGTTAGAGTCTATGATCATCATGTCGGGGGTATGGGAACAGTCAGGCAAACATGATACTGGAGCTGTAATTAAGAGCTCACATTTTGAAATACAAGAACAATACAGAGTGAAAGTGATGGAGTTTGTGTGTGTGTCTGTGTGTGTCTGTGTGTGTGTATGTGTGTGTGTGAGAGAGAAACAGAGAGAGAGAGAGAAGAGAGACAGAGATGGACAGAGAGGGAGACACAGAATAAGACAGAGAGATAGGGAGAGAGGTGGAGAGAGAGATTGGAAAGAGAGGAAGAGAGAGAAAGAGAAAAAGAGATAGAGAAATTGGGAATGTTTTGAATCTTTTGAAACCTCAAGGCCCACCTCTAGTGGGCTCCAACATGGTCATACCTCCTAATCTTTCATAGTTGTTCCACAGACTGGGGACTAAGCATTCATTTGTATGAGCCTATGGTCATTCACATTCAAATAACCACATACTACTCCCAGGCCACCCAAAAACCCATGGCCATAATATAATGCAAAATTCATTCAGTCCAGTTTCAAAAGACCACCTTATATTCTTTCAGTCTTAACACTGTTTAAAATTCAAAGTCTCCTCTAAGATCAAAGACAATTTCTGAATTGTAATTCCCTATAAAGCCAGAAATCAAATCACACATTTCAACATACAATGACAAAGAATATAAATTACCATTTCAGAGTGCATAGAAAAGGGCAAGGTCAGCATCCAGCAGCACAAACTCTAAATCCCATAATGGTTCTCTGTCTTATGCTAAAGGTTTTAGATGACTCCAACCCTCTAGTTTTGTTGACTATAACATACTTATCTCACATTGGATGTATAGATCTTGCATTTCTAGTATCTCAGGGTCTTATTCAGAGTTCAGGATTCTATTTCACAAATTTGAAAAATTGCCTTTCAGGGCCTCCAGTTAGGAACTCCCCTGCTTCATTCCTTGGCTTCAGTGGTTTTCCCGAAACATGGAGAATTATTCTCCAATCATAATATTTTTGTATCTTCATGACTATAAAGCCCTAACTATGTGGACAGCTTTGCCAAGTCTGACTACCAAATTGGAATAAAACTTGGCAATCTTGAATCTCATTTTTAGAGACTTTGAATTATTGCTGCTTTCTTTTCTTTTCTTTTTTTTTAAAAAAATTATCTCTTTTAGTTTTGCATACCAATTACAGTTCCCACTCTCTGCCCTCCTCTAATTCTCTCCACCTCTCACCCCACCTCACCCCCCATCCACTCCCCAGAGAGGGCAAGGCACATTGCTCAAATGAAGGACCAAGGCCCTCCACATTATATTCAGAATGAGCAAGGTATCCATTCAAATAGAATGGGTTCCAAGCATCAGGGACAAATCCTGGTGACACTTCTAGTGGTCCTGCAGTCTGCCCAGTCATACAAATGTCATCCACATTCAGAGAGTCTAACTTGGTTCTTTGCTGGTTCCTTCTCTGTCTGGCCAAAGTTGGTGAACTCCCATTAGCTCAAGTAAGGTGTTTCAGTGGGTGTCCTTATCATGGTCTTGAACACTTTGCTCATATTCTCACTCTTACCACTCTTCAACTCGATTTTGGAAGCATAGACCAGTACTCCACTGTGGGTCTCTGCCTCTGTTTCCATCAGTTGTTGGATAAAGTTTCTGTGGTGACATTTAAGATAGTCATCAATCTGACTATAGGACAAGGCCAATTCAGGCACCCTCTCCACTATTGCTTAGGGTCTCAGCTAGGGTCATTCTTGTAGATTCCTGGGAATTTCTCTAGTGCCAGGTTTCTTGCTAGCCCCATAATGCCTCCCTCAATCAAAATATCTCTTTCCCTGCCCTCTGTCTGTGTACTTCGCCATCTCAACTATCTCATTCACTCAAGTTTTTCTCCCCCCTCCCCTTCTACCATTCTCTTCCCCTTTTGCCCTACCTTCTCTCCCCACTCCTATGGTCCCCATTTTGTGAGGAGTTCTTTTCTATTTCCACACAAGTCAGAATGGCTATGATCAAAACCACCAATGATAGCTTATGTTGGAAAGGATGTGGAGTAAGGGGAACATCCCTCCATTGATGGTAGGAATGAAAACTTGTACAACCACCCTGGAAATCAATATGGTGGTTTCTCAGAAAATTGGGAATCAACCTACCTCAGGATCCAGCAATACCGTTCTTGGGCATATACTCAAAAGATGCTCAATCACACTACGAGGACATGTATTCAACTATGTTCATAGCAGCATTATTTGTGATAGCCAATCCTGGAAATAACCTAGATGCCTCAACTGAAGATCAGATAAAGAAAACATGGTACATTTACACAATAGAGTACCATGCTATTAAAAACAAACAAACAAACAAACAAAAAACCAATGACATCTTGAAATCTGCATGCAAATGTTTGGATTTAGAAAAAAAATCCTGAGTGAGATAACCAAGACCCAGGAAGACGAACATGGTATGTCCTCACTCATAAGTAGATACTAGCTTTAAAGCAAAGGATCACAAGGTTATAGTCCATGACCATAGAGAAGTTAATTAATAAGGAGAACCCTAAGAGAAACATATATTGCTGCCTTTTATGAGCAGAGTAATTCCTTAGGCCCTTTCTTTCTACAAGCTGGAAGCTTAGGTATGTGTTGTCCTTTCCTGAGATCACTAATCTATTCTATTTCAGATCTCCTGTTCTTTGAATTTCTCATCTCTGTCAGCACAAGAGTAGGCTCCAAAGTTAAATATCCTGATGTTGTTTTTTACTTTAAGATTCACATTTTGTATTGGGGTAGTGAGAAGGTGGAGATAGAGGAGGGGCAGATATAGGAGCAGGGAAGAAGATATCTATATTAAGGGAGTCATTTTAGGGTTGGCAAGAGACTTGGCTCTAGAGGGGAACCCAGGTGTCCACAGGGATGTCCCCTGCTAGGTCTTTGGGCAGCAAAGGAGAAAATGCCTGAACTGGCCTTGCCCCACTATCACACTGATGATTATTTTGAATATCACCATAGAATCTTCTTCCAGTGGCAGATGGATATAGAGACAGAGACCCTCATCAGAGCACTGGACTGAACTCCCAAGGTCCAGTTGAAGGGCAGAAGGAGGGAGAAGATGAGATAGGAAGTCAGGACCGTGAGGGATTGGTCCAGCCACTGAGACAGTGTGCCTGATCTAATGGGAACTCTACAAATCCAGCTGGACAGGGACTGAACGAGCATGTGATCAAACAGGACTCTCTGAATGTGGCTGTCAATGGGGGTGGACTAAGAAGCCATCGAATATGGCACTGAGATTTGTTTCTACTGCATGTACTGGCTTTTTGGGATCCTAGTCTATTTGGATGCACACCTTCCTAGGCCTGGATGTAGTGGGGAGGGCCTTGGACTTCCCACAGAGCAGGGTACCCTGCCCTCTCTTAAGGAGGGAGGGGGAAGGAGGAGGGTGAGTGGGGGAGTGGGAGGGGTATGGGAGGAGGGGAAGAAGTGTATTTTTTTGAATGGAAAAAAAATCTAAAAATAAATATACAAAAAAAGAAAAAAAAGATTTCCATTTTGTTTTGCTATTTCACCCCCTTGCTCTTTTTTTATTGTAGACTTTCACAAAAGTGATTACTAAAAACTACACAACATTAGTCCATCTTGAACTTGCCTTGTCAAGTAAATTTCTCCAATACATTTCAATTTTTTGCTCGGGTAGATTCTTAGAATAAGAGCAGAGCACAATCACATTTTATTCCAAAATCTCACAAGAATTTTCTAAAGCCAAGTTACTAATATTATTCCCTTCTGAAACTTCTTGAGTTAAGCCATTTTTTTTAACATGGAATACATCTCAGCTAACCATGTTATATAATTTTTTCAGCCATGCATGTTGTTGAATTTTATTTTTAATATTTTGTTACTGAGAGGTGTATATATTAAGAGTGGGAGACATTAATATTTTGGTCTTAGCAATGGGCTGATTATCCAGACAAAATAGACAGAGAAACACTGGTTCTAAAAGAAGTGATGAACCAATTGAGTCTACCAGATACCTATAAATAATTTCACCAAAACACAGAATAATATCACTTCTTTTCAGTAGATCATATGACTACAAAATTAAGTTACACTCAGTCACAAAGCAAGTCTCAACAAATATAAGAAAATGGTAATACCCCCTACATCTTTTTAGATCACCACAGATTAAAGCTGGATTTCAACAAGAACAGAAATAACAGAAAGCTTGTAAACTCATGGAAGCTCAACAACTGTCTACTCAATGACTACTGGATCAAGATAGAAATAAAGAAAGAAATTAAAGATGTCCTAGAATTCAATGAAAATGAATGCACAATGTACCCAAATTCATGGGACACAATGAAAGCAGTTCTAAGAGGAAATTCGTAGCACAAAGTGTCTACATAA